ATTTTTCTTTTTCAAAAGTGAAAAGAAATAATGACACTTTTTCGAATACCTCGAGATGAACCTGCTTAGAGATGCCAATCTACCGGTCAATCTCTGTACTTCCTTCACACTTGTTAATTGGTCTGGTATATCCTCGATGGCTTTGATTTTGTTAGGTTTTATATTGATTCCTCTTTGAGAGACCAGAAACCCCAAGAACTTACCGGAACCAACTCCGAAGGCGCACTTCTCCGGGTTGAGCTTTATATTGTATTTTCTCAAAATGTCAAATGTCTCTTGGAGATGTTTCAAATGATCTCATGTATTAAGAGACTTAACTAACATGTCATCAATATAAACTTTTATTATTTTATCTATCTATTTTTCAAATATTTTATTAACAAGCCTCTGGTAAGTGGATCCAATATTTTTAAGCCCAAAAGACATCACATTATAGCAATATGTGCCAAATTTTGTGATGAAAGAAGTCTTCTCTTGATCTTCTCCATCCTAATTTGATTATATCCGGAATAAGCATCAAGAAAACTCATTAACTCATGCAGGGTCGTAGCATCAATCATTTGATCAATATTTGGCAATGGGAAAGAGTCTTCAGGGCATGCCTTATTTAAATCTGTATAATATACACACATTCTAAATTTGTTATTCTTTTTAGGCACTACTTCTATATTAGCTAGCCAATCGGGATAATTTACCTCTCGAATTGAATCTATATTAAGTAATCGGGTTACCTCTTCCTTAACAACATGTTTCAGACATCTGCTATCGATCGTTTCTTCTGCCTTACTCGAGGAAAGTTAGGATCCAGACTCAGTTTGTGGACCGCCACCTCCAATGGAATACCTTTCATATTTGAATGCGAAATTGCAAAACAATCAACGTTAGATATAAAAAAAATCCATAATTTTTAACTTGAGTTCGAAACTCAACCCCATTCCTAAATAGAATTTTCTTTCCAAAAATTCTTCAAACAAGGCCACTTGTTCGAGCTCTTTTGTGGTTGACTTGGTCGCATCTTTCTCCTCCCGTACCTGATATAATTCTGAGGACTCCTCGTCTTTATCATCTTCAATTGAGATGAAAGAAGGCATTGGTTCATGTAACTGCTATTTGCTCGTTTTTTTGTTGTTGATACTGGAAACGGTTACTGCATTCATCTCCCTTGCAGTCGGTTGGTCTCCTCTGATCTGCTTGATCCCTTCTAGTGTTGGAAATTTTAACAGTTGATGGTAGGTTTAGGGGACAGCCTTCATTTCATGTATCCATGGCCTTCCAAGTATTACATTATAGCCCATGCCATCTACCACTTCGAACAGGATGGTCTTCGTTACTCTTTAGGCATGTGTGGGCAGTAAAATTTCTCCTCGGGTTGTGACACTTGTTAAGTTGAACCCGGCCAAAAGCTTTGTTGTCGGAATTATATTTCTGATCAGCTTCTCTTGCTCCAAAATTCTCCATTGTATGATGTTGGCTGAGCTTCTGGATCCACAACACACATTTAATTCTAAAATCTAAAATATTAAGAAGAATTACCAAAGCATCGTTCTGAGATCTCTCGGATCCTCTTGCCATGAGTCACCGATATCTTTGTCTTCTTTGCTGCCGAAAACGTCACCCCCATTTACTTTGTCTCCTCCAAAGATCATGTTGATTGTCATCTGAGGTGACCATGCTGCCGGCTTTGATGGTTCTGCATTATCCAAGTTTCTCCCATAGTTGTTCTTGGCACAGTCGCTTAAAAACTCTCTAAGGTGACCATTCTTCAACATCGTTGCCACCTCTTCACGAAGATGTCGGCAGTCCCCAGTCCTATGGCCGTGAGTCCCATGTAATTCACACCAAGGTTAGGATCCCTTTGGCTAGGATCCGATCGGAATGGTTTCGAGAACCTAGCTTCTTTAATATTCCTCATTGTCGACACCAATTCTACCAGACTGAGGTTAAAATTATAGTTAAATAATTTGGGATATGTCAAATATCGAGATCTCGATGTCTCTTTCTCTTGCAACGATCTGTTATTTTGACCACGGTCTGACCTTCTATCAAAAGTGAACCTTTCCGATGACTGAAAACCTTTATTTCCACGTGCACTGGTCCTCTCGTAAGGTTGAAAACGAATTCTAGAGTACCTCCGATCTGCATCAAAATTATTTTTAAACTTATCTTGATTCCGATCACGATTTTTTCCTTTGTAAGACACCGAGGAACCAAGTTGATTATCTTCTATTCTTATTTTTGACTCATAGCGATTGTGAATATCTCTGCCCATGTGGTTGCTTGAAATTCGAGCAAGCTTTCCCTCAAATTCCGGGAGGCATCGGAGCTCAACGGGTTGAGACCCTTTGTAAATGCCTCTGCTGCCCACTCATCTGGAATCGCTGGTAACAACATCCTTTATTTCTGGAATCGGATCACGAACTCTCGCAACAGTTTAGATTATCCTTGAGATATTCTGAATATATCCTCCTTCCTTGTTTGGACCTTTCTTGCTCCAGCATGAGCTTTGATAAATGAATCTACAAGCATTTCAAAATAATCAGTAGAATACTCAGGGTTTTGCCAAACTTCTTCAACAAAATAAACTTGATCTCATGCTGGGCCAGGTCGTTTCCCTTTACCGTTGTAGTGTAAGTCGTGATGTGTTCATTTGGATCCGAAGTCCCATCATATTTTGGTATATCCAGCATTCTAAACCTCTTTGGGATTAACTCTGGAGCCGCACTTGGTTTAAACGGCAGCTGCGTATACTTCTTGGAATCTGGTCCCTTTAACATCGACGATGCTCTTGGGATCTGATCCATCCGAGAATGAAATTTCTTTGCATTCTGATCCATTCATTCATTCATTTCTCTCATACATCTTATGAGCTCGATTTTGAAAGGGTCATTTAAGTTGTTGTTCCCATATCCACTACCGGTACCTCCTGCCTCATCGAAACTAATCTCCTCCCTTGGAGTGTCGTTATCAGTTCTTTGAACCGTTTGATTTGCGGGTACGCTGGGAGGAACCAAATCCCTTCCATTGGCATTATTAGAAGCACCCGATAATGCCTGCTTCAATTCTGTCATCACCTGATCTTGCCTTGAGAGGTGATCCATAATCTCTTTTTGTTGTTCTCTCAAGATTTTGATCGTTTCAACAATATGTTCATCATACGCATCATCAGGAGTTGGGCCCCTCATATGTCGAGGATACCGGCCTTAGTGAATGGGGTTCGCTTCATCTCCTTCGTTGCGGGTTTCGCTAGTTGAATTATCATGCTGGAACACATCTTCCCATTCAATGTATGCTCCAACATTGTAGACATTGTTGACATCATTAGCCGTCATACCTGATTTTTCTTTTATTAAAGAAAGAATCAAAATTTATTAGTAACATATGAAGGGATCAAAGCAATTATACAATTGTCGCTCCACGGTTGGCACCAAACTTTTTACCCGTAAAATAATATAGTTGAATTTGTAACGTGGTTTATAGACAAGTGAATCGATTTGACCCAAAAATATGAAGTGAATAAGAACATAAATAAGATTATGAAATAAAATTAAAAGAAATACGAGCCTGGCTAAATGTTTAGCTTCTCCGATAGCAGTAGCAAAAAAAAAAACTAAGAGTAAAGTCAAGAAAGCAGTTCTATTGAACGAAGGCAGATTATAGCTTTTTCGTACAGAATATTTCGTCTCTACAATTTAATGATACTAGTTCCCTAATTTATAGCTTTATTTAGGGAGACAAAATCCCCAAATCAAACTCCTCTTGAATGTGAATAAAACCGTCATTGGTGATTGCATAACAGTTGGCTATAAATGCAGATATTCTCTGTAACGGCTGCTCATTGAATGTTATCCGATATTAATATTGCGAATCTTTGTTATCTGCTACTCTGTCTTCGGAATTCACTCACAGCACTGGTTACATGCTCGCATCATGTGCCAGCTGCTTGTTGACTCACATCCCACCTGTCTTTAGTACCACGTATCACTTCGTCATTCACCCAAATATCACTAATCAATTTTATCCCATACACTTACCCTTCCCCTTTGGATTTGATTTTCGTGATATGACCCCCATGTTTTTTTATCGTAACCTTGAATAGCTGGAAAAGAAAAGAAAAGATAAATTGGAATGATAAGTGTGATCAATTGAAGTGTAATGATAGAATTGCAGCATTACCCTTTCCCCTTTGGATCAGAGCTCATAATATTTTTTATAGTATTTGAACGTATGTATATAATTGGTCTTTAGTAATATGATCATTAATGAGGAATAGGAATGGAATGATCAATTCATGTAGATGAGCTTTTACAGTAAGAAATAGAATATGAAAGGTTAGCAAGTCTCCTTGACTGTGACCATATGGAAGACCGCTATAACTCCCAAGAAGAGCTACGTTGGGATTTTAATCATTAACATTTTTATACTATATATAAATGAGCAAGGGTGGACGAACACTGCTCTACTTGATTGTACAAAAAGCATGAAAAGTTGTATGTTCGAAATTGTAGATCTTGTAATTGGATCTTCAACTCAATACGTGCACTCTTTTTTTCGTAAAAATAGCGCGGGCTAGCCAGTTTTTGGACTGATAATTGAAAAATGGCCAGCTTTTACAAAGTCATTAAAAAATAGCCACTATTTTGTCGCAACATGGAAAGTTCCAGCATAATATACTGGAGATCGGAACAGTTGTGTATGAACTTCCAGCATGTTATGCTGGACCAGTATATTATGCTGAAACTCCAGTATATTATGCTGGAAGTTCACATATAAAAAATTCGAACTCCAGTGTATTATGCTGGAATATTTTTTAAATTTTAAACAGTGTTTTTATTCAATTTTATCTTTACAAAAAAAATGACTAAATTTCTATTACTTTAAAATTGTTACTATTTTTCAATTATTATTTATAAATCTGGCTTAGTTTTGAATTTACTTCTATAAGCACGTGTACTGCCTTTTCCACTTACTGAACGTCCTTTTGTTCATTAAGGAACAAGGAATCCCAAATCCCATCACCTTCTTCTTCTATCAGTACCCTCCCTCCCTCTCTCTCTCTCGGTTACTTTCATCTTCTCTGTTACTAAATTTTTCTCTGCAAAAGCTCCTGAATCCTCTTTGTTCCAAATTATCCTGTGGTTGTGGATCGCACCTTCGTAAGCTCTTCTTCCATGTCTGCATCCTTTTAAAGGTTTTCCATTTGGTTCAATTTGGTTATGTTTCTCACTTTTTGTAAGTTTTCTCCATGCTTCCTTCTTCAATATACCCAATTTTCGTGTAATGGAACTTTGGAGGAATCTATTTGCTTCTTCTTTTTTTCCATATTTTTGGATAGCTTTTTGATGAATTTTTTACATACGCATATTAGTAATTATATCTTATTTGCACATGGATATTTGAAAATAAATACCTAGGTGCATCATTTTCGATATTTGATGAATGAAAATCTGGTACTTCGGTGTAATCAACTCTAATTAGTTTTTTCCTCTTCAGTTTTGATATTCCCAAAACAGATTATATAATTGAAATTTCAGTGATGTTCTGTTCTTTTTCTCTTTGATGATCAGTCAAGCGATGTTCATTTAACTGAGTGTTCAAATCTGGCTGTGAGGGTGAATTTTTTTGAGTATGATAGTTCATTTTAAGTGAAGTATGCTTTATATCATGTGCTTTTCTTAGTTTTTTGCATACTTAAGCAGGTAATTCTAGAAAGTAAATTATTTTCTTTTGCTTTTCTATTTCTTGCTTGCGAGTACTTTGGGTAGTATTCATATTAATGAGTAACACTATTACATCATTATGCACACTGATACATCCAATGTGTTTGGAATAGTTTTTTTTTTTTACTCTTTTTCTTATTTTACATTACAGGTCCTACAACATATTCACCTCTCATGAGAAATCCAAAATGTAAACTAGCTATTTCTTGGACGGTATTGGTATGTGTATGTGCGACCTATATTGTTGACATATTCGATTTGCTTGCACGTGTATTTCTATTGTACTATTGCTACTATTTGTCAAACTTGGCATTAATAAGAAAATTTAGATATATAAATTATACTTTTTTCAAAATTATACCAAATTACAGTTATTGATTCAACCAAATTATAGTAAACTGCAATTGTGTAAACGAAATCATATTGTGTGTGACATTTAAAAAAGAAGAATTATGGTTGAGATGTATATACAATTAGGAGGAATGCGTAAGAACATTTTGCACTAATTAGACATGATAGAAATTGTCGGCATATTTAGGTTATTGTGTTGTCTTAGCATAAATCAATTTCTTGCAGGTTTAAACTGTAAAAGGTAGTTTTAGGGGATTATATATTGCTGTAAGTTTACTACCAATTGCATAGAGAAGTCTAATAAATACTGTTGTAAGTAATTTCTAAAGGTTGTCTCCAAATAGAAGGAACTGCAGTTCATGTGCATTATCTGCTCATCTATGTGATAGTCATAAAAGAAGTTAGCTTTGACAGGATTTTTAAATGTACTTTTCTGGAGAAAATGACTACCACAAAAATGGTTGTAGATTCTGGCAAGTACTTGCAATTTCTCTCAATAATAACCAAAGGGCCAAATTATAGTAAACTGCAATGTATGTGCATTATTTCTTGGCATATGTGACAACGTGTTGAAAAAAGTTTGTTTCTACATCTATCTCGATATTAAGCTTCGTCTATTTGTCAAACAGAAAAACAATCTGCTAAAATCACCTTTGCAATATCCAATAGTCAAGAAAATTAATTTTGCTTGTGAAAGAAATTGAATTTATGAGATGTAACTGAGGGGAGATTTATAACTTTTAGTTATCTAGAGCATCAGTTGCACTTAATATTGTTTGCCAACTTATTTATGAATTTTAACTGTTATGTTTATACCCTCTTTAAATTAATGTTTCCTAAATCCATTTCACGAACACAGATTTATGTGCAGTGTTTCAGTTGCAAGATGTCCTCTTTGTTGAGCTTTCGGAAACTTCCTGAAAAAAGAGATGTACATAATCCAATCAGGGAACTAAATGGTTTAGTGAACTAAATGGCAGAAGATTATGTGCCTGTCTTGGTGATTGTCGACTTGAATTTGACATGACACCCCATATGAGTGTGCTCTTTGGACAAATTAATTTATGATTTCGAAAATGACAGAGACTGCAATAGTTCCAGATTTTCCTTCGTGCTTGGTTATTCTTCAATTGCTCAACTATATATTTATTTGGATTTGATCAGTGATTGTTGCTCAGCTACTTATGTTCTGCCATTTTGTTAGTAATAGATGATCCAGCCAAATTTCTGTACTTGCGAGGTAAAAATTGTGTTTGTTCACAACATTATTCTGGAGTGGTGACTACTTACAGTTGAGATCTCAAGAGTGATTTACTAGATCAGTTGACCCATTGCTTTCATTTATGGGCCAACTGCAAGTAGAAATCAGTTGCACTTTACATTGCTGCCTTATGATGTGTTCGTTTTTTGGAGTTTTCTTTTATCAAATTCAAAACTTTCTTTATAACAACAACATTAATTGTTAGGCGGGCGTGCATTAGCTAGACTATACATAAATAGCATATTATGAATGTGCTTTAATTTTATCTAGTATTATTTAAGCAAATTATATTTACTCCTTTTGGTTTAGGGCAAAATAGTCAACTAATTTCTTAGACATTTTTTTAATTTAACTTTAAGCTTTGGAGCTTCCCACTCATAATATAGTATGATATGATGATGGTGATTCTCATTACTATATTTGATGTTTGGTTATAATTACATATTTTTAGTGTATTACTTACCTTGCATTTTGGGGCTTTAATGCTAAACTATATTATAATTGTGCTTAATTAAATCTATTTTATGTGTAGGTACGTTGAAAACGAAATTTGAAACAAAGTAAATAGTTAATGTGTATTTTATGCACTATAACAAGGGGCTTATGATTATTGGATGACAAAGCAATAACAAATGAGGAAGAAGGAAGACAAATGGAACAAAGTACAAATAATTGACAAAGAAAGAACAGAATGAGACAAAGAAACAAAGTTAGGCAACAAAGCAAATCAAGAATGAGGCAGCAAATCAATTGGAAACAAAGTGAGGCGTCAAAAATTCAGCCGCCATATGCCAAGGGACGCGAGAGAAATTCCTCGCGGTAGGCTTCGCGCGCGAGGTCCAGCGCGGGCTGTTTCGCGCGTTCCACGTGGCAACGCGTGGTCCGGGTTTCGAAGTTATTTTGTCTCCTTTTTAGTTTTGGACTTAGTTATTTCATTTAGATTTTTTCCCTACATATATAAATAGTCATTAAACATCATTTCTAGGGGAGTTTTGCGACCGGAGGCAAGAACATCACGCTTGGAGGAGGCTTCTAACTAGTTTTTCTTCTCTTCTTTTCTTTTAATCTCATAGTTTATTAGTTCTAGAGTTTTGGGTGATGCATGAACGTTGTAGTTTGAATCTTGAATTGTTCTTATTAGTTTATCATATTGGTTTATTTATTCAATCTTGCGCGTAATTATTTGATTGCTTGATCACCAATTGAATACTATCTACGAATCTAGGATTGAACTCGGGAGAGGGAATTCAAGTTTGCATATAAGATTGAGTAGAGCAAGATCTTAACTCTGGGGGGAGGGGGCGGATTTGCGATTAGGATAGGAATATACCTAATCGTCTTACTTGGTTACTATACAAAAATTATTAATGCGTTCTTGTTAATTCTAATTCCATAGGAATATAGGCGTTAGATTAGCTTGAATAGGCGAGTTGTACTTCGGGAGAAGGATACGAGCAATATTAACCCTGTCAATCAATAAACCAGATAAATTAATTAGACGATTTAAGTGAAAAACGGATTGTTAGCTAACCCATAGCTCTAGAATATTCACTCACATTGAATTCGTCTTTAAGCTTGTCATTGTTTTCTTTAATCTCTTAATTTACTACTCTAGATTAAATTTTAGTTAAATATTCATACTTTACGATTCGCTTGAATAGATTAATTGTTTGGTTTAATTTAGTTGATAGTTAATCACAAGTCCCTGTGGGTACGATATCTGGACTTACAATCCTATATTACTTGTCGACCACGTATACTTGCGTGTGCGTTTGGGAGCAACAAGTTTTTGGTGTCGTTGCCGGGGACTTAGAAATTAACTATTTTACTAGATTAAATTTTTACTTTTTTATCTATTTAAGCTTTTAATTTTAGTTTAGTGTAGTTAGTATTATATTGTTTGTTACATGGCATCTTGGAATGAGAATTGGTCGAATATTGGTTATTCTTATTTTGGTGATCCCTGTTCATATTGTGGAGGACCACACTTGTGGCAAAATTGTGCATCTCAATCTTATGTGTGGAATTTTTGTAATGTGTGTAGTTGTCAAGGTGGCCATTGGGATGGTTGTCCTAATTCTTGTTATTCTCAGAGCTCTTATTATAATGTTTATGAGTTTGATAGGAGCAATGAAGTGAGGATATGGAACGTGATGCTCGTATTATGGACATAATGAGGCAAGTAGCCGAGCAACAAGATGAAAATCAAAAGGCTATTATGGACATGATAAGGTAAGTAACCGAGCAACAAGTTCTTGACGCCTTAGCGATCAAAAGACTCCAGGCTAGAATTGACGAATTAATGGCCAATTTTCAAGAAGAACCTCAACTCGACGAAGAGAGCAAGTTCCCACAAGAAGATTACTTTGAAGAAGCAGATATCGTGAGCCAATCTTGGCAAGAAGAACAAGCTCAACTGGTAAAATTTCATGGGGTTCTACGTAATGGTTTGTCAAATATGGCAGAACAGCTGATAGACGAAAGAACTTAGCTCAGGCAAGAGATAGACCAATTTCGCTCAGATATCCATGACATGGAGGCTCAATTGAATAAAATATTTAAGGCGTCTGATGCCCAACAATCAATTGTTGTAGATACTGGCCAGCTTGTGGAGCGGAAAGAGGAATTTCAACTATTCGATCAAATGATTAATGATGCCAAGGTTGACGAAGTGCGCAAAAGTGAGGATGTCAAAAGTGAAGTGATTCTAGAGTTGGACCGCATTGGACCTCATTCTAACCATTTTTCAACATTATGCTTGGTTGGTGACACGAGAATTGATCCATTCGAGCCTATAGAGGAGTCAATGAATGGGTAACAAAGTGTTTATATTCTGAAATTTTTCATACCAAGGAGACAAAACGGCATCCCGCACTTAAAGGCCAAGAAGTGCAAGATGCGATACCTATTGCTTAGTTCCTTTATTTTTATACCACCACACCAGGAATGTGATAGAAAAATTGATGCAAAATTAGGGGTGCAATTTATATTCTCAAAGTGGAAGAAAAAATGGTGAAAGTGATGGCGTCGTGCCGCGACATTAATTCAGGCGCTTGTTGGGAGGCAACCCATCTTTACTACTTTTGTTTATTTCTATTTTGTTTTCTTATTATTATTGTAGTATTTATTTTTATTTTGTAGGATTATGAGCATAGGAGGTAAAGCCATTGGAAGAGTGCAAAAGTGAGCTTGAGGGTGAGAACTAAGTGTGGGGTGCCCACACAAAGGACCATACCTGAGAGAAGTTTGAGTACCCCGTGAGTTACTAATTCTTCAGTCTTTGGCCTACCAGGGAGTCTCTTTTGCCCTCTTGTTATTTATAGTGTGCATTGAGGACATCGCACAATTTTAAGTGTGGGTGAGAAGATTGTCTGGGTATTTTTCTGTGCTATCTTAGCTTAGTTGTAGTACTCGTTCTTAGTGTAGTAAAAAAAAAAATCATAAAATTTTGGACTTCTCCCAACGATGGATCGCATTCGATAGGTGTCTTGAGGGATTAAAGTCTAAAAGAAAAAGGACAAAAAATTTTTCTTTGTAGGTAGTGTAGTAATTCCCTCTTGATTTTTTTTTGTGCCACGGTTCTTTTCTAAGGGTTTTATTTGAAGCGGGTGTAGTTAGTTTTATTTTTTTAGGAGTAGGAGCCATTGTGAGATGAATTAAATTGAAGCAATATCTCTTGACTTTGTTATTCCTTGAGAATAATGAGTACTTTGGTTGTGACATTTAGGATCAGGTTTTGACTCTGGTATAAGTACCTTAAAACGTATGATCTTAACTTTGCTTAACTGCTTTGACTAAAGTGTCTTGATGAGTCAAATCCTGAGTGAGTTATGTGTCAGGTGTGTGTGAGGTTTGTGTGTTATTCTGTGCATTACATTTGATGTCTAGAACTTGCCCCGTGTGTTTGCAAAATGAAATAGTAGTGTTGTTCAGTCTTGAAAGTGATATAGGCGTTTCTTTGTTGAGCCAGATATATATAGTTTACGCGCCTAATTGTTATGTATCGTAGTTAACCCTTTGAGCCTGTAATCGTGTTTCTTTGGCAACCACATTACAAGCCTTACCCATTTATTTGAATTAATCATCTATTCGAACCTTTTCACCTCTCATGAGCACTTGAATTGTTATGAATTTTGTAAAAGTTAAAGTGTGGGGTGGTTGGTTTGGCTTTTGAGTGGAACTAATGAAATAAAGAGAAATGTGCACTGTTTTGAAAAAAAATAAAATCCACTTGAATTAAAAAAAGAAAGAAAGGAAAAAAATAGTTGAATTGCTATGAAAAAATATTCCTTGATAGTGGTGGCTCTTGATGTAATTGTGCTTAAAAAAGTATGGAGTTAATATACATTGATGTGAAGGTGGAGTTATGGTTTGACATAAATGTGGAGTTTAAATATTAAAGTGTATGTATTAAAGTGCTTAGGGAGGTGTAGTCACTATTATATTCAAATGTATCCTACCCGACCCGCAACCTACATTACAACCAATTAAAGTCCTACTTGATCTTAGACTGAATGAGCTTGATTAGTAGAGTAGTACACTACAGGCAAGCCTATTGTGCATCTTTTGTGGTATATGGATGTTATTTCTGAGAGTGAGTGAATTTCTTTCTATCCTGAGTTCCTAATTGTTCTTAAATTTTATTGTGTATGGAACTAATCTCTTTTGTTGTGTGAGGGCACTTGATTTATGAAGGAAAGGTAATGTCATTGACTTCTATGTTAGAGTAAGTGAGTGAGTTGTGAATAATGCATGGTACTTGCGAGTCAAATCTTGAGGTGAATATGTTACACTCTTGTGCTTAGTCTATTTTAAAGATTCCTGGTGTGATGAGTTAAGAGAATTGTTTAAAAATGTCGTGTCTATATAAAGTATAGTTTGATTGCTCGAGGACGAGCAACGTTTAAGTGTGAGATAGTAATATTTGACTATAATTATATATTTTTAGTGCATTACTTACCTTGCATTTTGAGGCTTTAATGCTAAATTATACTATAATTGTGCTTAATTGAAT